CAGCCGTTAGCCGCGCGGTCGGTGCGCTTCAGCCCGGTCGCTCTTCCCGAGCCGTGCCTTGCTGAGGGCGGAGGGAGAAGCCTCCCGCTCCCCTCTGTCCCGGTAATTAAGTAAAAAAAAAAGTATTTAAGGAGCCGTTCAGGGAGGAAGCAGGTGGCCTTTCCTGAGGTGCCACAGTGTGTCTGCCGCCGGCGCAGGTAGTGGGTGCGTGTCACAGCGGAGGAGCGTGGCTACACCGGGTTTGCCCAGGCCTGTGGATGCCAAGAAGAGACGAAGCTAATGAGATTAATGTTAGGAAGGCAGCGGGCAGGCAGAAATAGCAGGAATTTAAGTTAAGAGAGACAACTGCTATAACTTCACAGCTGGACAAAGCTGCTGTTAACAGAGTCCTGTCTAAAACGCCTCTATGGATACTCATCTGAGAGCAGGACAGAGTGAGCAATCTGGTGTAGAGAGGTACTTAACAATTCCAAGAACGGATGACAGATTGTGACATGAAGACTGCAGTGGATATATGAATAATGCAAAATATATATTAAATATTCTAGTATCTGCTGGACTTTTTTTTTTGTTTGGTTGGTTTAGAATTGCCTTGTAAAAACTGCCAAAATGCCAGTTAACTCCATAGTAGTCACTGACAAAACACAGGACCGCAGGTGCTGAAAACTCTGCCAAATATCCAGGGAACTGTGGCTGTCATTCTCGGAAGGAGGCAAATGCAGATTTTAGTTTGAGGTGTGACTGAGAAGTGTGTGCTGGAAGAAACCACGTGGAGTAAGAGGTACTAAGGAACAGTGACTGGGGTTCCTTTTTTTCTCTCTCTAGCTGAATTTCTAACTCTTTTTTTTTTTTTTTGTTCCTTTTTTTCCTCTGCATTGCCATTGTTTGCCTAGGCTTTCCACTATTAAGTTACCAATGGTGCAGACCTTTATTCAAATAATGAAGCTACATGGTGGGGTTTTTTTTAATAGTTGCTGTCTCTATATTGTGGAAATGACTGGAAACATATTTTCATTGGATGTATGCACAGTGAAAGGAAGTTTCAGATTCAGTAAATTGCAAAACCCCAAAACTTGTCAGACTGCTTATCCCAGACTTGACATAACGAGCAGTGTGAGGCCAGATTCCTGTTTGTGAGATCTCTTTTACCCTTCACATGATGTGTTGATGTGGCATCACAGGGCTACGTGCGTGGATGAGGCAGCAGCTCATCTCGGAAGGAAGCGTTCAGTTGTTTGGCTACTATGAACTGCTGAAGCAACTCTTCCTGTCTCCTCCAAGGAAATTTTGGTGAGGCTGAACTCAGCCCACAAGCCAACAGCTGAGCTATGCTGGCTTAGCCAGAAACTGAGATTGTGATAACGGGCTGCTAAATTTTCTTTTTCAATCCAAAGTCTTAGGAGGCAAAGCAACCTAAGGTATTATTGATATCCTCAGTAACTGGTACGTTCCTCTACAAGCGAGGGTGAGTTATGAGGCCCTTCCTTTTCCACCTGGATGGCATCTATTTTATTTACTCTAGTACTCGCCTTTCCCACCATTATCTAGAGCTCAGAAGAGTGGTCTGAATTAGTCATCTCAGCAGCAGCCGCCCTGTCCACATGTCCTGGTTTCAGCTGGAATAGAGTTAATTTTCTTCCTAGTAGCTACTGTGTTTTGGGTTTAGTATGAGAACAATATTGATAACACATTGTTTTAGTTGTTGCTAGGTAGTGCTTATAGTAAGTCAAGGACTTTTTCAGCCTCCCGTAGAAGCTGAGAGGGAGCATAGACAGGACAAGCTGGCCAAAGGAATACTCCGTACCAGAGATGTCATGCTCAGTATATAAATGGGGGTTGGCTCCAGATGGGCTGGGCAACTGATCATCAGGTGGTGAGCAATCGTATTGCATCACTCATTTTGTCTATTCTTTTATTGTTATTATTATCTTCTCTTCCATCACTGTTCTATTAAACTGTCCTTAATCCATAAGGTTTCTTTTTTTTTTTTTTTGATTTTTCTCCCCTATTCCACTGGGCAGGCGTGGTTCTGGTTGCCAGTTAGGGTTAAACCGTGACACCACCTTAAGTAGAAAATCTGATACCCCAATTACCATTTCTACCATTTTCTACCAGTCAGTGAATTAACTATAAATTTAATTTTAAAGTTTAAGGATAAAAAACAATTAAAGGGAACTGAAGGATCATCCGTATGTTACAGATAGAATAAAAATTCAGCAGAGGTAAGTCATCTGGCAGACTTGTGAACAGAATCTTGTTCACTGATACTGGCACTAAAGAATGGTTCTTTCTACACTGTTTTGAGCTGTAATACTACATTTCTGTATTGTATTACCAAATCGGTGTTAAGGTTCCTGTTTTGTTCACCTTTGTTCTTGGTACGTAACCCATTGTTGGCAAGATGGTAGAAGAAGTAGGTTACCAAGCTCAGTCAATAATAAAAAGTAGTATGTAAATATAAATACTTTTCTCAAACATGTAACAGACACAAACCCAAATGTTTCCAATATTTCCGTAAAAGCAGACAACAAAAATGCATGCGTACTAGAAATAACTATGATGTTAACTTATCCATAATTAATATATCCAAAATGACAGAAAACATTTTACATCATTATTGAATAAACACAATATTTTTTGACGTTCAGGATTTTTTTTTAATTCCCCCTGTACTTTTAGTTCATTGAAGGCTAAGCAGTGGTTCATTTTTGTTTTCTTTTTTTAACTTCCCTAAGAATATCAAGATGAGAGGTGGCTTCTTAGTGATGTTTTTGATACTAGTTCTTAGATCATTTGTAGAACTCTTAGGGTTTCTTCAGCACTTACTGGCCTAAAAAAAAAATCATTGGGGAGAACTTAAACACTTCACAGACTTAAAATCGTTGTTTTGAGCTTATCTGTCTGCTGGTGTTTTGTGTGCTTGCCTTGGGTTCCAAAGTAGGCATCTTGACCAGTACAAGTCTGGTCTCTTTACAGTTAGATTTCTTAGAAAGCAAAGCTTAACACAGTTGTGTCATAGGGTTTCTGACCTGATCTCCCCTCTAGTGAACTTGAATCTTTTGGCCAGTTTCAGCCAAATCCGAGTGAAGGGTCAAAGTCCCAAACTCCAAAATATGTTCCTTTAAGTCTTGTTAAGGCTGGTAAAGGTGAAACAGCCAAACTAATGCTTATCTCTACCCTCCTGAAGGAAAGGAACCTCACTTTACTTATGCTGCTTACCACAAGCATACTCACTGGCCAGTGACTGTAGATTGGTTTTATTTAATATTTCATTAGAATAACGTTGGACTAGAAATCCTAATAAATCTTTTCAACCCTGTTGTCTTTGGTCTCCTGTGATGCCCCAGGGGATTGATATCTAAATCTATGCAAGAAAGGTTATTAAATTGGATACCCTTCTCCAGTGGCAGTTCTTATGTAAAGCCATATTGTAAATACGTAAGTAAATATAAATCCTGAACAAAGGTTAAAGGAATGCATTTCTGCAAGTAGATTGCTTTGAATACTTTCAGAATCTTTTTCTACAAAACAAATCAAAAGTAAAGTGCTTTTATACCATAAATCCAAGGTTTTAGGGTATCTTAACAGTCTAGAGGCAAAGCAGGTTTTTCAGCAATTCAAGTCAAAATATGTGAGCGAGTAATGCTCAAACAACTTTGGAAAATGCCAGCACTATACTAGGATATGTAAATAAAAATATCTTTCACAGGAGAGGTGAAATAATCATTCTGTTTTACTTAGCATTGGTAAGGGCTTAACTGGAAAATTGTGCATGATGTTAAAAAAAAAAAAGGAAAGATTTGTCTGCTGAGAAGTAACCAGCATGATCAGAAGTTAAAAATGCAGACACTTTCAGGAAGACTAAAATAACTGTGTTTAGAGAAGACTTAAAGGAAACATGATAAATACGTAAATATTTGCTACAAAGATAAGAATTATATTCTGTTATTTTTTATGTAGATAGTGCGAGTGTGCTGAAATTGCAGCAAGAGGAATTGTGTATACTTAAGCACTGAAATAGATTAGTTTCAGTGATCTCCACCATTGAAGGTTCTTACTAGGAATCTTCCGCTTCACATCCTAGAGATGATTCTGGGTTTTGATCAGAAGAACTGTTCTGATCTGTGACATTCTTGTATTTTGTTAGGAAATCCCCTTTTTCACTACTCTTGTGTTTTAAGAGAACTGAGGGCGTGTTCTGTCTTTGTTGTGCCAAGATTCCATTGTGAAGAACCAATTCCTTTTCTAAAATAACTTCATAGACCAAAATGATTTTGTAACAGAAATGAATATGAGTTAATAACAATATGGCCCTCAAAATGTAGTGGTTTTGTGAGCTGATAGTTATAAGCATTCTTGTTCCTTAGTCACGTTTCAGTAACACAGCAAACAACTGTATGAAATCTCATCCTCACACATAGATTCATGTTCATGAATGTATCATTTTTCAAAGTATTGTGCAGTGAAAAAGTCATAATTGACACACAAGAGAAAGGATCACTTTCCCAAGTGTTGTATGGGTTGTCAGTGAACTAGCACCACTGTGTGGGACTAATTCTATCTCCACAACACACACAAGCTTCCTTGTTTTCAGCAAGAGGCTACATGTGAAATATTGCTAAAAACCAAACCGACAGAGTTAATCTTCACTAACTATTAAGGCTTCTAATATTAAAGAGTAACAAAGCTAGTCCCCAGAACTTGGAGATAACAGCTGTACTAGCATCATTCTCCACTACTGGAAAGACTGATGTGAATTATTGTTGATGTCAATCATTATGTACATTCTGCTCTCATGAATTTCAAATTTATTTAAAAGAGAATTATGTCAAAACATAATAAACTGGGATTATTCCTTATTATATGGAACCCTATAAATAATTTACTAAATTAAAATGGCAAAGAAAATAGACTATTTTATAATTGCAGTTGGAAAAATATGTTGTATATATTATTCATGAATTATATTTTTATTTATATAGCATTACTTTCATAGGTTTCCTCATTTTTCCTCCTTGCTTTGTATTATGCAAGTGCAGATCCATAGTGATAACTGGGCTGTCCATCTTGCCTGATCAGAATTTCACTGTGGGGTGGACAGTAAGGATTAAACTCAGATTCTCATACAGTGAAAATCACAGATTTCCCCTCTCGTATTATGGTGGTAATACTGTCAGCTCATTGAGGTGCACATCCAATAGTATAGAGCTGATTAGTTCACACTTCACTCTGGTGCTATCTCACGCCGGCAACCTTTCTAGTGCATTTTTATTTCATTTTATTAAAACTTAATGAGAGTTTAAAACTCCATTTAATTTCTTTTTTTCTATCCGTCATCAATTTTCTGTCGCAGGGCTGTCATCAGTTCTAAGAAATTGATCTGTGTTATGGAAATGCTGCCATCACATTCTGATTACTTCCTTGTTTCTTTTGTGGGTGATCATTGAAGGGAATGGTTGTTGTTTGGATCCAGAAGCATCTGTAACTAGCGGTTTGGGTGGTAGCTTAAGATGCGGCTTCTTTGTTTTCATGGTTACTCAGATTTTTACATGTTAGCTAACTGGGGACTTGTTAGCTACCTGTTATCATTAGGCTGTTTGGCATTTTAAAACATGAGCACCTATTGCAATGAATGGAGTTAAGGACCATCTGTCTTTGTTTGGCAAAGCACTGATAGAGTTTTATTCATTTATTTTATGTATGATGCCTCAAAATATATTAAGCAATGTAACAATACGTGCTGCATAAAAGGAAGTAGTGAACATGAAATAACCAAATGTAAATAACCCTCATACAGAACTCCTCACAAGGGCACATCTATCATTCCTGTGAAAGAATGGAAAGAATGCTTGGCAGATGTTTGGAAATTCAGCAAGATTATTATGAAGTCTTCTTGCCACTTGATTATCAAAGGAAGGATGTCTCTGTAGAATTCTGTAATACAAAAACCTTTCCAAAATTTTATCAGATGTGACTTGCAGTAAAGAACAAACAACATTTAGATTCAGTTTTAACCGAGCCAGTATACCTCTTCGCTAAAAGTCCGTTTTCCAGATGAAGGACAAATTAAAACTCACAGATTTTTGGGATGTTTTCTGTAACAAAGAGGACTATTTGGTATGATTTGTTGAGGAAGCACTTATTGACTGGTCACTGGAATAGGTTGCCCAGGGAGCTTGTGGAGCCTCCATCCTTGGAGATACTAAAGACCTGACTGGACATGGTCCTGGCCAACCAGCTCTAGGTAGCCCTGCTTGAGCAGGGGGCTTGGACAAGATGACCTCCATATGTCCCTTCGAACCTCAGCCATTCTGATTATGGCATTCATAGGAATAAAATATATGCCGGAATTATATGGTGGCATAATACGGTGGAAAAGATGCTGCTCAGCACCTTCTCTACGACAAAATTTTTCAACTCTGACAAAGATCATATGAACAAATCACTCCCATACCCCATCACCTGTGAAGAAAGAAAACCATCACATGGACCATGACCAGAGGTCCCTTCCAACCACAACTTTTTTCATTAAGCGTAAAAATACATTAATTTATAGTAGATAGCATTACCTACAAATCAGCTTTTCTCTTTTACCTGTTGTGGGCCTTTCTGTTGAGAAGTTAGCAGATTTTTATTGAGAAGTCCCTTTGTTACTGTTGAGGGTTTGTTTATGACAAGGATTCCCAAATTCTGGGATGTAAGTAATTCCAGGAGATGATCTGGCCTGGTAGAGAAGCAGAACTGCTTAGGTTGTACCTGCTGTTACAGCCACTGTCAATGCTCATTCAGAAAATGTTTGTGAACTGTGATCAAAAAAACGTTCTGTCATCTCTTACCTTGCCGCTACAGCTTTAAAATCCAGTATACATACCCATCTGGGATTGTTAACAGAGTTGTGACTGCTGGAACCTCACTTTTCTTTCACTCCCCTTCTTAGGACAGAATATGTGGGACCTGTACAGGTTCCTCAGCATTACAGGGAAGGATGGACTCACCTGTAGGTGGGGCACAGGGACTATTTCTGGGCAAGTTTTCATGTCAGCCAAATTGAGACCTTAGCATTGCCAGTAGCATGTTGAACATGAGTCAGGCACCAGAAGACCATGACGATGGTCTAAAAACTGGGGATCCTTTTAACTGAGTTCTGGTTTTGGAGCCTTTGGAAAACTCATTTTTTATTAGCAGAAAATGTGTTTCTCATATAATATGATTTTAAACATTTTAACCATGAACAAAATATAAAAAATGTATCAGGCAATAAAATTACCCTAGAATAACTGACTGATTCAAGAAGGGGAAAGAAATACAAAACCAAAATATGAGGGAAGAACAACACAAAAGGGTCAACTCCATGATCACCACCTTCCCTCCTCCACAGTATGAGGTTCTGCTGCAAAAGTTTGCTTCCTTCT